TGTCGGAAAGGTTGAAGAAGGAGAAGAAGATTCTAGTTGTTTTAGATGATGTTTGGGCTAGACTAGATCTAGAGCAAGTCGGAATTCCTTTTGGAGATCAACACAAGGGATGCAAGATACTGCTGACGTCAAGAAATCGAGATGTTCTAACCAATGAGATGGATGCAAAGAAGGCTTTTATAATCGATGGTTTGAAAGAAACAGAAGCTTGGGACCTGTTCAAGAGGACGGTTGAGAACGATTTTGAAGATCCTGAGTTACGATATGTAGCAACTGAGGTAGCCAAAAAGTGCGAAGGATTGCCCGTCGCCATTGTGACAGTCGCAAGAGCTTTGAAAAGCAAAGATATACATGCGTGGAAGGATGCTTCTCGGAAACTTCAGAAACCTTCTCCAAGCAACTTCACAGGGATACCGGCAGCTGTCTATTCAGCTATAGAGCTGAGTTACAATTATTTAGAAAGTGATGAACTCAGACAGACTTTCTTGCTTTGCGGTCTTCTAGGTCATAATGCTCGCGTTGAAGACTTGGTGAGATATGGCATAGGTTTACGTTTATTTGATAATGTCGACACAGTAGAAGACACGCGAAACAGAGCGTTGACACTGGTAAGTGGCCTCAAGGCCTTTTGTTTGTTGCGTGATAGTTACAGCCATGACCGCTTCGATATGCATGACTTCGATTGTGATGTGGCCTTAGCAATTGCCTCTAGGGATAACCATGCATTTGCATTGAAACTTGAGGGTGTTTTTGACGATTGGCCAGATGAAGAGAGGATGAGAAAGTTTAAAATGATTAGTTTGAGTTTTGACAGTGCTCAGAAGCTTCCTCATGGGTTGGAATGTCCACTACTAGATTTTTTCTTTATGGCACTGCAAGAAAAATCGTATGTCCACCCCTTCATGGCGAGCGAGGATTCTGATCGGGAAATGCCAGCTAGCTTTTTCCGGGGAATGGAAAACCTTAAAGTCTTACATTTGATTAAAATCAAATTTTCCTCAGTTAGTCTCCCGACAAGTCTTCGAACACTGTGCCTAAATCAATGTGTGCTGAGAGAAATGGTCAATCTTGGAAAACTCAAGAATCTAGAAATTCTTAACCTTTCCGGTTCTAATATTAAAATGCTACCTGAGGAAACGGGACAATTGACTAGGTTAAGGTTATTGGATCTGAGTGGTTGTTACAATCTTAAGATTTCAACAGGTGTTTTATCAAGTTTGTCCAAATTAGAAGAATTGTATATGGGTGGGAGTTTTCATCTTTGGAATGAAGGAAGCAATGCTCGTCTTGATGAATTGAGGGATTTGCCTTGTTTGACCACTTTATATGCTTGTATTCTTGACGTCAAGATTGTGTCATCTGACCTTTTCATTCTGTTCGCTGAAAAATTGAAAAGATACAGGATTTTCATTGGAAATAATGAGTTCTGGCCTGGCGGGATTAAATTCTCAAGAGCACTCAAACTCAAGCTAAATACAAACATCAATCAACTGGATGATGGGATGCAACGTTTGTTGATGAAATCAACAGCTTTTTACCTGGAGAATCTAGAAGGTCCCAAGATTGTTTTCAGTGAGGAGGGCAATAGGGAAGGTCTTTTGCATTTAAAGCACATTCACATTGAACGAGGTTCGGAGATACAATATATCATGAAGGATAACAATGCACTTAATAAAATTGAATTTCGGCAATTAGAATGGTTGATACTTGCGAAATTACCACAGCTCATTAGCTTCTGCTCTAAAAACAGATCAGGGGCCTCTACTTCCACACCTCAACATGAGTTGGCACTTTTCGGTGAGGAGGTATTTATTTATCTTTTGTTCATTCACATATCAGAACACGTATGTAATAAATTCCTGTCATTCCTCCTACAACTCTTGACTCATTAATGATTATATCATTGGTTTATGACCTTTTTGTAAAGTTTTATCTTTTTAAAGATTATGCCTTAAAAAATTCTCTTTTTTTTCAACTGTCTTTTTTAAATTTATTTCAAACCAATTCGTCATTAGGAAGGGAAGTAATTTCTTCTTAACTGCATTGGCAGACATCATTCTTTTTTTATATATATAAAGCATAAAGGTTATGTGATTATTATATCGAAACTTGAATGTTTTAAATGTTTTGTAATAATTTTTAATGTATAAGAATTACATTTGTATAGATGAGGTTCCCTTGCTTGGAGAAGCTACAATTGGAGACACTCAAGGTTGAGAAGATATGGCCCCATCAGTTTTCAATCATTTCTGACTATCTTCAGAATTTGAAAAGTTTGAGCATTCAAAATTGTGACAACTTAAAACACATATTATCATATTCTGTGGCTACAAGTCTAACACATCTCAAAAGCCTTGAAATATATGGATGTGAGTGCTTAAAAGAGATAATGTTCATGGAGGATATAGAAGAAGATATGATGGACCGGCTTTTCCCTAAACTAGAACTTTTGAAGTTTCAAGAACTTCCCAATCTCACGAGATTCTGTCATGGAAGTAACTTTGAATTCCCCTTGTTGAAAAAGCTTATTATTAAAGAGTGTCCTACATTTAAGGCATTCATCTCCAAATTCTACCATGGCAAATGAAATTCATATTATCCAAGAAGTAGAAGAAAAACAACTCAGAGATCAATGTCCCTCATCCTTCAATGAAAAGGTGACTATACTCTCCTTTTCTTACTGTATTTATGCTATAACAAATCATTTTTTTTATATAGCATGAATGTTATGTAATTATTGTATTGAAACTTGAATTTTTTTTTTATAATTTTTAATGTATAAGAATTATATTTGTGTAGATGAAATTTCCTTGCTTGGAGGAGCTACAATTGTACTCATCAATGTTGAGGAGATATGGCCCAATCAGTTTTCAATCACTTCTGACTATCTTCAAGATTTGACAATGTTGAGCATTAATTGTGACAACTTAAAACACATATTATCATATTCTGTGGCTACAAGTCTAACACATCTCAAAAGCTTAAATAATGATGGGAGTGCTTAAAGAGATAATAATTTCATGGAGGAATAAGAAGAAGATATGATGGACCAGATTTTCCCTAAACTAGAACTTTTGAAGCTTGAAGACCTTCCCAATCTCACGAGATTCTGTCTGGAAGTAACTTGAATTCCCTTGTTGAAAGAGCTTATTATTGAGATGTCCTACATTTGAGACAGTCTTCTCCAAATCTACCATGGCAAATGAAATTCATATTATCCAAGAAGTAGAAGAAAACAACTCAGAGATCAATGTCCCTCATCTCTTCAATGAAAAGGTGACTATACTCTCCTTTTCTTACTGTATTTATGCTATAACAAATCATTTTTTTTTATATAGCACGAATGTTATGTAATTATTGTATTGAAACTTGAATTTTTTTTTATATTTTTTAATAATTTTTAATGTATAAGAATTATATTTGTGTAGATGAAATTTCCTTGCTTGGAGGAGCTACAATTGTACTCACTCAATGTTGAGAAGATATGGCCCAATCAGTTTTCAACCATTTCTGACTATCTTCAGAATTTGACATGGTTGAGCATTCAGTATTGTGACAACTTAAAGCACATATTATCATATTCTGTGGCTACAAGTCTAACACATCTCAAAAGTTTTGAAATAAAGGGGTGTGGGTGCTTAAAAGAGATAATGTTCATGGAGGATATAGAAGAAGATATGATGGACCAGATTTTCCCTAAACTAGAACTTTTGAAGTTTGAAGGCCTTCCAATCTCACGAGATTCTGTCATGGAAGTCACTTTGAATTCCCCTTGTTGAAAGAGCTTATTATTGAAGAGTGTCCTACATTTAAGGCATTCATCTCCAAATCTACCATGGCAAATGAAATTCATATTATCCAAGAAGTAGAAGAAAACAACTCAGAGATCAATGTCCCTCATCTCTTCAATGAAAAGGTGACTATACTCTCCCTTTTCTTACTGTATTATGCTATAACAAATCATTTTTTATATAGCATGAATGTTATGTAATTATTGTATTGAAACTTGAATTTTTTTTATATTTTTTAATAATTTTTAATGTATAAGAATTATATTTGTGTAGAATGAAATTCCTTGCTTGGAGGAGCTACAATTGTACTCACTCAATGTTGAGAAGATATGGCCCCAATCAGTTTTTCAACCACTTCTGGACTATCTTCAGAATTTGAACAAGGTGAAGCCATTCAGTATTGTGACAACTTAAAGCACATATTATCATATTCTGTGGCTACAAGTCTAACACATCTCAAAAGTTTTGAAATAAAGGGTTGTGGGTGCTTAAAAGAGATAATGTTCATGGAGGATATAGAAGAAGATATGATGGACCGGATTTTCCCTAAACTAGAACTTTTGAAGTTTGAAGACCTTCCCAATCTCATGAGATTCTGTCATGGAAGTCACTTTGAATTCCCCTTGTTGAAAAAGCTTATTATTGAAGATTGTCCTACATTTGAGACATTTTTCTCCAAATCTACCAGGGTAAATAAAATTAATATTATTCAAGAAGCAGGAAAAAACATCTTCGAGATCAATTTCCCCTCGAAGTGGCCATCATTAAAGAAAATGAAGGTACATCGATGTGACAAGGTGGAGATATTTGCTTCAGAAAATCTTTTGAGCTTTGGAGAATCAACAAATCGACAACCCTTGTTTTGGGTTAATGAGGTATGAACACAAAAAACTATGTAAAATATTTACACATTTAGTTTGCTTCTCTCTCTCTTTCTCTCTCTCCATGCCAAGCTTATATTGTCCATTGAATCAAAACAATTCAATGAACTTAATCAAATCCAAATATATTCATTGATTCAAAACATTTACACAAGCATTTCTTATTGTAGCTTTTGCATAAGATGTTTGCTACAATAACAATATTTTTGATTAATTATGATGTTCTCGCCCTTACTAAATTGAGATAAAAGCGTTTGACATTTTTAGATTAACTTTTAAAAGATTTCTCTTTTTTGTTTTCATTTAAAAAGTTAAATTTTAGATAAGAGAATTTAATTTCACATAACGAAAGATGTTACGAGGAAGCAACAAAATAAGACAATTTATTATAAACTAGAAAAAAACAATTTAATTTCCTATATAAAAGTCAAGCAATCTAGTGTTTGAATTGTGTTTCAATTTATTTTTTAAGCAATTTAGGAACACATATGTAATATCTCAAAAAACAGAATAAAAGAAAAGCATTCACTTACTCTCATTTATCATTGAGTCCAATGATAAATATATATGTAATATGTAGCCTCTATTGGTTGGAGACTTGGTGCGGTATGTACAGTAAAATCACATGAAGTCTGCCTCCCCTTACTTACATTTGTCTGCTCATACATCACCCTCACAGCTAAGCCATGCATGACACTCTGATCACCTTAAACCCATCCCCTGTACCACGTTAGGTTGGTCCCTATACGACTTCCTCCAGCTTGTGTTCCCTTCCCCCAGCTGTAATACTTTTGCTATTTTGGCACGATTATGGGAGAAGGGTCATAGAGGTAAAACTTTTCATATTTTAGTAACCATTGAAATTAATTACAATGGTAAGAAAAGTAAAGGCAGTTGTAATACTTAGCTTGTACAATAAATGGAACATTGAGATCTTGTGGATGGTTCTTCTATATAACTTTGACTTCCAATCTAATGGGGTGGTCAGGATGATTTTACATCATCGGTATTAGTTCAAAATTTTTAACTTTAGTCTAACACATTTGTTAATTTTCAGGCTTCATTCCCCAATCTAGAAAAATTAACATTGGAGGATAATAGCATTATGAAAGAGATATGGCATGGGCAACTTAGAGCAGAGTGTGATGAAGGGAAACGACGCATTGTTTTTCCCCGACTCAAGTATTTGGAATTAAGCTATCTACCAACTTTGGCTAGCTTCTGCTCAAGGGATCAAATCTTTGAATTCCCTGCCTTAGAGAAAATGGTTGTGACAGATTGCCCAAAGATGAAGATTTTCTGTCAAGGAGATTTAAGCACACCACAATTGCAAAAAGTGATATTGAGGAAATATGAAGATGAAGAAAAAGGGTGGTGGGAAGGCGACCTTAATACAACTATAGAACGGATGTTTGAAGAAAGGGTAAGCATCAAAATAAAAGATTTTCATATTTGCTTTGTCTTCTTCTTCTTCTTTTTTTTTTTTTGAACACGTGTTTGCTTTTTTTCATCACCTACTTTTTAAAAAGATGTCTGTAAAGATCTGAAATTGGTTATAATTTGAAGAATGTTATGTAAATACTAAAGCATTTATGTAAATATAAATTAATTACATATCTGTGGAGGACTGAAATTGGTTTTAATTTAATTTGAACTTATTGATTATATCAGTTTTCTTTGTTAAAAATAAAAAGAGTACTCTTTTAGTTTTTTATAATTTCAATTATTTTGGTACTAATTGTGCAATTCATTGGATTCCATAGGTTGGATACAGCGATTTGAGACTCTCTGATGCTTCTGAGTTGATGGAGATATGGAGCAAGAATCCTCAAGAAATTTTATCCTTCAAACATCTTGAAACGTTACAAGTTTATGATTGTAGCACGTTGAGGTTCCTTTTTACACTTTCCATGGCTTTGACCCTGCCACAACTCCGTAAGATGGAAGTAAGAAATTGCACCGAGATGGAACATATCATCATAGATGAAGGACCACATAAACAAGTGTCAAATAAGATTGTGTTTCCTCTGCTAAGGTTCATAACTCTTGAATCTTGTGCGGACTTGGCAACTTTCTATCAAGGAAGTAAAATACTGGAATGTCCATCCTTGGAAAGATTTAAGGTGGTTGATTGTCCCCAGATGTTTGCATTTGCATCTGCATTGTCAAGAGAGCAAAGAATAGAAATGATTGATGAAGGAGGAAACACAACAAGGCTTTCTAAGGGAATTGCTGATGTTGTCTTTTTCGATAACATGGTTAGTATATTTTGTTTTTGAAGATAATCTTTACCTTTTGTTTTTGTCTTTGTTTTAGTACATTTTAAAAAGATTTTATTTTAAGAAATTAATTTTGGCGGTGGTTATTCTTTTAAATTAATTTTCATATATCTCCAAAGTTCTCTTCCGTTTAATATTAATGGTCTTGTGCTTTTAGTCCACTCAAATATACTTGATAATGTACAAATAGCTACATAAAAGTTATGGTTATCAACAACTAACTTAAAATATTGGTCAAATTATTTTTATCTGATGTTAAAATTTAGACATATTTATATATGAAAATAATGAATATCCAAAGGAAAATTCAAAATAAACAATTTTTATTATAAAAGACAAATTACGTTGTCATTTAAGCAAATTTACTTATAAACTAAATTTCTTTATTTATCATTGTCTTTAACATAATTTTTAAAGTCAGTTTTTTTACATATATGTACTTACACTTGCAACACATGTGTTGAGATATAAATAATTTAAAAGGTCAAATCATAAGAAAATGCAAAAAGTTTAGTACATGTAAAAATATCTTTGTAACATAAGAAAAGAATTAAAATGCTTTCTTTTGCACAAAAGAAAAATGAGGATTTGCAAAATAAAATAATTAAAAAATAGATAAATTAGATATCCATATGCTCCCAACCCAAAAAGAAAAGCTAACATAATAATACAAAAAAGTTTCCATTATGTTTGTATTAATATTTTTGTAGCTTTTTTTCCCTTTTATAAGTTGTATATATTTGTTTTAATATTGAAATTGATACTTTCCCAACCCTTTGTTATATCTTATCTCTAAGGAGTACAACAATTTATTTTCCCTCATTAACAAAGAAAATAAATTCTGCAGGTGGCATTCCCTCGTTTATATTATTTGCATATTGAAGGCATCGGGAAATTGAGGAAAATATGGGATGATAAGGTCACTACGAATTCATTTTGTGATCTGCAATATCTTAAGGTGAAAGACTGTGAAAGACTTTCAAATATTTTTCCATTAAACATGATGGAAAGACTTCAGAAACTATTTTCACTGTACATAGTGAACTGTGATTCATTGGAAGAAATAATTGAACCTCAAGGACTCAATTCCAATGAATCACACGCAGTAACAGCCACTGAATCAAGGCTGTCAGAACTTCCTGAGCTCACACATCTCTCCAAAGAAGAAATTCCACTTGGAGAAGTAGTTTTCAACAACTTAATGCATTTAGAAGTGTCGGGATGTGGCAAACTAAAGAATTTAATGCCATCTTCGACATCTTTCAAAGATTTGATATCTCTGAAAGTATCAAAATGTCATGGATTAATGAATTTAGCAACACTCCCAGTGCCTAAGAGCATGGTCTTACTTGGAGAAATGAGTATTACAGATTGCCAAATGTTGGAAGAAATCATAGCTTCTGCAAGTGATGAAGTGATGGATGGCATTATTTTCTCTAAACTGTGGTCTTTAGAACTTGATGGTCTTTCGAGCCTATCAAGGTTCTGCTCAGGGAATTATATGCTTGGATTCCCTTCCTTGAAGAAGGTAATCATGAGACGATGTCCAAAGATGGAAATATTCTCAAAGGGAGAGTTAAGCACACCAATGTTGCACAGCATACTATCAACTGAAGATGCTTATGTAGGACGTTGGGAAGGCAACCTTAATGCCACTATTCAACAGTTGTTTAAAGAAGAGGTATGCATCAATTCAAAAAAATTTCCTGATTATTTTTTCATAATCTGCTTTGTATATCACTATCATTTTAGAGCCATGTGTGTTCCAATTAAATTTCAACATTGCTTGAGTGTGTGGCTTCCATAGTATGCTTAAAACATGCCATTATTACACTGCTTGTAACAACAGATATTTCTGCATTTTGCTTGTAACATCGAAAGAAGTTCACTAAACATGTATGAATTATGACAGCAAACATCTTGCTGGAAATAGAAAACTAACCCTTTAGCTTCCTTTTCTTAAAATACGTAATTATGAGTCAGCTTTATATTTCTTTTGAATTCAATGGCAGAGAAACTAAAAACAGGGAGCTTTTAACCTCTTTTTTTATAATGAAAATGGTTGCACGATATTTGTTGGCTTTCATTGTATAGCTAATTTAACAATTCATGCTTTCACCTTTCAATATGTTGTTCCTTATGATAACAGAATGTCCAAAATTGTGAAGAGACTGAAGTTTCCTTTTAATTGCCCAAACTGGAGTAAGGCAAGATATTGTTGTACCTGTGGGACACTTAAAGGTTCATTTTTCTTCTATCAAATCTGGAAATCAGAGGGTAAGCAGATCTTCTATTTCCTTCACTTAAAGGCAAGATAATCTTCATTACTCTACTTGATTTCCTTCACCATGGCTAATTGCATTTTAGAGTTATAGTGGAGATGCCCTTTTCCATTGCAGGTTAAACTGCTCTACTCAAGTATAATGATTCTGCTCAGTTGGTAGCCACATTCCTTTGAATCCAAATGGCTATCTCACTTTCTAGTTTCTGTAAATTTGCTTTGTTTGAAGTTGCAGTTTCCATATGTAACTCCAATTGTCAGTATTGAATATTCAGGAGCATGGAACTAAAAATATGCAAACATGTAATTTGTTGTTTGTAAAGAGTCCATCAGCCAAGACTCCCATGTTTCATTAACCCCAAAAAGATTGCAGATTTTCCATATAGGCATCATAAAATCCCTCACGCTTCTTACATTTCAAATTTTCCTAGACAAAGGATAATTGGATAAATGCATTGGAAACCTTTCACCTCCAGGGATAGGAAAGATCCAAGGCACTTACTTTGCAGAGTAGAAACATTTGGATGACAAAAAACTTCAGACTGAGGGGCAAGGGTAAGGTGTTAATGACCAGATATGCCACTAATTCTACAAAATAGCAGGCACAGTTGGTTTTCATTAACTTATATCCAGAACACAAGTAATACATTACATGACCTGCATCTGAAATTTCCAGCAATATAATGTTTGTTAATGACCAGATTTTTTTTTTTTTTGAAAGATGAGTTTTTATTAATGATAAGCTGGAATGCCGCGAGGAGTTTTCAACGTTGAGATTTGAAGACTCCTGTTGGCATGCAAGCTATCATAAAAAGAGCCTGTTCTGAACAATTACAAAAAGAGCAGATGCTCAATGAGCACTTGGCAAGGGTAAGGTGTTAATGACCAGATATGCCCACTGATTCTACACCCTGTGAACTCAAAAATGAAATTTGCTTAATAATCTTCATTTTCAAATGATTGGATGATGTAATTAGGCCTGACTAACCAACGTTTTGGCAAGTGGTATGCAGCAACGAATTGAATTCCACAAGTAATCTTTTAAATGCAACCTCCTTTGAGAGATCAACAAAGAGTTTTATCAATGATCTTGCAGATACCCTTTCTCTTCCAAGTAAGAAACTACTTCCCCCGCCATAGCACCTGGTGTGGGGCAATCTCCATCTTTCTGCTGTATTTCTATCTGGAAAGGACAAAAGATTATCCTTTTCAAGATTTGTTGAAAAATCAGCCATTATATAACGGGTAGTGTTTTAGAGTATACGTAATATGTAAATGATCTGTAGGAATTAATAGTCCATTTCAAGTAATATTTTACGTAATCAACTAAACACAACTAAACACACACCTCACACTTTAGGGGTGGTTCATAGGGATCATCTATGCCAGTAAAACCTACAAAATAATACCATAAGTTAGCAAAGGCTCAAGGGCGAAGGATAATTTGTTTCACTAGCCAAAATTAAAATGATAAGAGTATCATTATCATTAATAACTTAAATGCCTCAAAGTTATAACTGGTTTTATGTATGAACTATGAAGAAGTAGGGCAAAGATATTGAATGCAGAGATATCAGATCCAATTATGGGGAAAAAATCTATAAGAAACAAGATCACTTATCGGAAACCCTAGTTTCCAAATGGAAGTGTATTCAAAAGATAAGTGCATTTAAGAAAATAAAGGACACTGAGATCTCCAGCAACTTGCAGGTCCAGGCAAATTGAGGGAATTTATATGGCTCGTAACACAGCACAAATAAGGTAGCATTTGAATTCTTGAGATTAATTACCAAAATTCAATCTTGTATAATAAATAGTTTAAAATTTTAGAATGTCCTAGGGAAAAGAAAAAGAAAACTTGCCCTTCCAGTTAAAAATACAGTGTGTTATAGAGCATGCAACACAGAAGATCTTGGGATTTGAAGGGTACTTGAAAAGCATTTCAGTAAATCATGCCATATTCTGATGTTCTAGGGAGATAAAGATGACAAGAAGAGAGAAATATAAGAATCTATAATAAAAGACATGATTCATGAAACAGAAAAATGCTCCTATTTATCCCTTTAATTTAATTTATTTTAAAAAAAAAACAAAAATGGAATGGCCAACATCATAATTTTCCCCCATGGTTTCCCCAAGGATCAGAGCATAAGCAGTATAAACAGGCAACTCTTGTTAATGAAGGTATTATAGTAAGGAGCACACCTTTAATCTTTCCAGCACGTGCAAGCTTGTAAAGGCCTTTAGAATCTCTTGCCTCACACAATTCAAGAGGCATGTTCATAAAAACCTGTACATGTAAAAGGGCGATTCAGCTTTGAGAAAACATAAAAAGAACGAAGATAAGAACCATCCTCAAGGGGCCTTGCCTCTACAAAATTAGCATCAGGCAACATAGCACGGCATGCATCTCGGTCTTTCCTATATGGAGATATTAGACTGGCAATGCAGATTAAACCAGCATCTGCAAAGAGCTTTGCCACTTCCCCTGAATCAGATGCACAAAGGCTTAGAAACAACCCAAACAAAATGTGCCAGAGAAGAACAGAGCCATAAGCATACCTTAGGCTCTACCAAAACAGAAGTTGAACGCCCACAAGCCTTCTATACTCATATCAAACATTAACATATGCTCATTTACATCTAATGACACAAAGGTTAATAGTTAGTATGTTTAGTATGTTCAGACTTCACGATGTCCTTATTCACTCTTACATTTTCTTTTGAGTAATTATACATATAGTGATCAGTACATAGGGCTTATGTATGCTAATCAATTCATAGGACTTCAACCATTCAAAAAGAATCAATAAATACCCATGAAAACATCGAAACAGCAAACAAACTGATGCAAGTTCACAATTTGCTGCATGATTCAATTGCTAGTCAGTCCATAAGGTCAAGGTGGTAAGAACAAGCAATGCATAAAAGAAGAAAACTCATTTTAAAATATATCTCAAAACAAAAGGGAAAGAACTTGTCCAGGATTTGGAACACCATATTACATATCTTTTAAACAACTGACACTAAAAAACAACCAGATATCTTCCCTGAATGTTGAGTCTAGGAAAGCTGATTCCTGACATTTTCCAAAGACAGTCATACCAGTTGGTTTTGTTACTACCAATTTATCTACTGTTTTAATATAGAAAACGAAAGCAAAACTCAAGACACCAAATATAAAAATTGGCAGCATACGAAATTATTAAATTAAACCTTCTTTAGATGCTTGTGAATGACATAAATAGAACAAACTTGAAACATTAATGGTTTCAAAAAGAATATATGGTTAGTCGCTACTGTTAAATAGACAACAAAATTATTTAGTCTCACCAAAGTCTAAACTCCAGAGACTTCTACTTTCTCAAGAGCATACTTACCAACCCTGCGTATATTTTCTGTTCGATCGTCCGCCTTGAAACCAAGATCCTTATTTAGTCCATGCCGAAGGTTATCACCATCAAGTATGTAAGATAGCTTTCCCCTTGTATACAGTTCTCTACTTAGTGAACACGCAAGTGTGCTTTTTCCTACACATTATAAACAAAAAGCTCAAGAAAAATATATAACAACCGCAGATAGTACAGCTCAGTTTGATTCTTTCAGCAATATTGAACATTTACAATATTTTAAGCCCTACCTAAACCTTTTAGAAATAGTAATAATGAAGTTTTAAAGAGCCACATCAATCTAAAAGCATGAGCAATGAAACTGCAAACAGCTCAGGCTACTAAGAATACAAGGCAATCCCATAACTGTTTTACTTCATAACATTCAACAATTAATTTAGAAGCAACATATTCCAACCAATAGCCACTCCAGAAAAAGACAAGTAATTAGTCAGTTATAAGACAGTACATAGCATAAAAGGTTCCTGGAACTTTGCAAATTGCTTCTGCTAAATGAGTTGCAAAAATTGAATTCAGCCAATTAAGTCAGAACTCATAAACCAAGTATCAGATGAAGGTTAAACACAGTAAAGTATTAAAAGAAAAGGAAAGAAAAGATAAATAATTCATATTCAAAACTCCTCATGCAGTATCAGATATCTAAATTTAAGTCCTATTATGCACTCTCCTTTTAGAGATTTACAGCAGCAGCAATAAAGGGAGAAGTTATGTCCAAAGTGATCAGGGACATTACATGGAAAGGAGAAATTATATCTGTAGTAAGCAGGGCTACTACAGGAAACAACTGTTGTTTATTGTTGTGCAACCCTGTCTAGATCTTCTCTGCACAAATGACATGTTTTCAGAGGAAAAAAATAGAATGGGCAAAGAATATGTGTTTCAGCACCTTTAGTACTAAAACTGTGATGCAACCATAAGTGCATGCTTGCAGTTGTAAAATCACAAATTGTATGTTGTTAGAATGTAGTTCCTTAACAGCAAATTCTAGTCCATTGAAAATCCAGTCGGGATAGAATTTTCAAATTCAAAGCCAAGAGGAAGCAAATCAAGCTGCTAAAACTTTTTAGTTTTCCAAGAAGGATAATTTTAATTCAGAATTAGAAAGCACATATGAAAGTTCATTTGACTTTAAACCTGATCCACTGAGACCCGTGATCCATACGACACAACCCTTTTGGTTAAGCAGCTTCTGCCTTTCAAGCTTCCCAACTGGTGATTCTTGCCAAAAAATATTTGTTGAATTTCCCACAGTAGACATCTTAAGTTGTGCAGTCTTCGATTCTCTGTGTAAACAAGCAAACACAGAATTGGTAACAGCAACCTGATAACCACATATTGAACAATATTAGCCACTAGAAAATAGCATGAGATTTTATATGTTAATTACAGAAGCCTAAAATCCAAAGTGAAATACTCTATACAAATTCATAAAATTATCAATTGTTTTTGGAAATGAAGCTGCTGAATGATACACAACGTTTCTTTTGCTTTTTTTTTTTTTTCATTTCATTCACATGTTTTCTAGACTGCACTTGGCATCCTTTTATCCTACACATCATAATGAGGATAGCGAATCTCCATCATTAACAGCTAATGAAACTTGCCAAACAAAACCACATTTAATCTATACAATAATCAAAGGTGCCATCTTTCGTTATTCAAATAAAACTAACCATTTCGAACCCTTAATTTTTTCAGAGACTTTGAACAAATTAAAAACCCAATAACCTCACTGAAAGAGTTCCCATGATCTAACAACGATGACATCTACAACACTATAGATGAAAAATTCTGCACAAAAACAAAGCAATGCTTCATCATATAAATATAAACATAAATGTAAACCAACAAAAAGACACAATTTTCATCACATTTTCTTGCGTTTCCATCGTAATTAGCAACTACCCATCACATGGAACTAAGAGAAAGAGTGTCAAATACCTGAGAGAGAGAGAGAGAGAGAGAGAGAGGGAGAGAGACCTGTCGAAAGTTATAAGCTTTGCAGGTTTGCTTTTTGTTGGTTGATTGAGAAGCAAAGTTGAAAGAAACAAAAGAGAGAGAAACTATGAATGGGAGAGGAGATGAGCGCGAGCTGAAGACGGCATAGACATAGGAAAGCAGAGAGGGGATCAGTTACTTTCAGAGGAAAAATTAATTTTTCTATACCCTTTTAGCTTTTTCTGTTTTTATTTCTAATTAATAATAGTATATTATAAAGAGAATAATTTTGTTATTTATTTTAGCTTTAATTAATAATACTAATAATCAGCTTTAAATAATAATAATAATACCAAAATCTTTGTTGTTTATAATTAAGAAGTGATTTTTATAATTTCTGAGTTCTTTTTAAAAGGACATAATAATAATAATAATAATAACAACAACAACAATAATAATAATCCTACTTTTAAATATCTCAAAATGAAGTCTATTTTTACTTTTAAATATTTAATATTTTTACTTTATTTATATCACAAATTCATTTTATGATTTTTTTTTAATTTTTTATGTTAAAAAATATTGAACACCTATAGTATAATTTACTTCAAATTTTAATATAAAATACATAAAAATTAAAATTTTTATCTTATATAAAAAAATGTGAAATAATGAATCTAGACGCTTGTACCTTCTAAATTGCAAGTGACTCTATGGCACAATAGTCCAAAATCCTTGTACACTTTTCTCCTTTCTTTCTTTCTTTATTTATTTATTTTGTTTTCAGTCAAAAATGAAAGGGTCCCTTTGAACTTGCCAAATCAGATGGTGAATAAGAATATTTATAGGGATCTATGAACACTATCTCACTGCCAATTTGACTCTTTCTTGCTTTGACTGTCACAATCAATTCTTTTTTAATATTGACTTATTATTTCCCTACTACTTTGGGAATTTATTATTTTTTTATTTTTAGTTTGACCATTTTTAATTTAAAATTTAGTAAATAATTGTAAAAAAAGACGCTTTCATAATATTGCTTAAAATGTAAATTAAATAAAATAATTTTATGTATTAAAATTATATAAAAATATACATGATTAGGTTTTTCTAATACGAAATTATTATTTGATTATTTTTAATTTTTGGTAAAACTACTATTTATTATTTATTAATTTATATATTTTAATTTTTTTATTGAATTAAAAAAATTAACAAAGACTATTGAAAATTTAAAAATTAAATATCCACAAAAACAAAATAAAAGTAAAAAAGATTGTTGAAAATAAAAGCTAGAAAATATATTTAGGGAAGATGGTGTTATATTGGGTCAAAATCTCTGTTAGGCTGAGACTTGTGCAATTGGGTCCGCGGATCCAAATTGGGCCCAAGTTGAAACACCCAAGGGATGGAAATTCACGAATATCCTCCGTCACCGTCAGTCAAATTATCGTTCCTCCAGACTGGAACTCCCTCAACTCAGAACTCCAATCCAAACCGGAGGAAACCTTAAAAGGACAACAGAACTTTTCCCCCGTGATTCAACTCCATGAACCATAATGCAGGCTCACCTCTTGGTGGGACCCTCTCCCGTCAACGGCTTCTACTCCTCCTCCTCCTTCATCTCCAATGGCAGCCTCTCCATTTCCGCTTCCCCGTTCACTGGCAACTGGCCCTACCCACATAACTCCCCGCGCAAATCCAGTAACCGTTGGATCCCACCGCCATCGTCGTCGTTTGCATCCGCGGCGGGTATCGACGGAGAGCAGAACCATTATTCGGTGCTCGGCGTCGCCCGCAATGCTTCATCCGCTGATATCAAGCGAGCTTATCGACTTCTCGCTCTAAAGGTAATATTTTCAATTGTTTTAACTCAATTTTATTAATGAAAAGGGTTTTTTTTAACCTTTAATCGTTCTGCTCCAATTATTTGCTTAATTGTTTGTGAGGTCTGGGGAAATGAACAAAAAATTGAATCTTGTGAATTACTGTTGGAAAATTTCATGTAAATTGATACTGCTTTCTAGTTTATGAGCTGTAAATTGATTATTTATAGAGGAAAAAGGCTCGAAAAAAATCCTATTTTTGTTAATTGTTTCTATTTTAGAGTGTGAGGTTGAATTTGTCACGCTGGCATGCTTTCTAGTTGTGTAGTTATATCAATTATAGTGAACTTACGATAATTCCTGAAGAAAATTTACATAAATAGATTATGAATTCTAAGAACTTTCCATAATTCTAGTAATTCCCTTTGATATGGAACTCGTCACGATCTCTGTATGCCATGGTTTATTAAACCTTTTGTTATGTAAAATAAATCAACATGAATCTTGGTCTGCGGAAGAGGGTTGTTCTGTATAATAGGAATCTTTGGATCGAGTTAGAGGATGTGAGGTTTGGACGTGGATAGTTGATATCAGTACCTACCAGCTGACCATATTATAAAAGCTTGAGTTTGTATTTGAAGATTTTTCCTTTCCCTACTTAAGAAGTGTATGAAATTAATTTGGCGACCTGCTAACTGTAACTATGCTTCACGTGTTTCATTTTTTAATGTCAGTATCATCCTGATGTTAGCAAAGACTCACAAGCTGGTGAAATGTTCAAGAGCATCCGTCATGCATATGAAGTGAGAATTCGTTCTATCATTGCTTCCTCATGATTCACTAATTGCTGGTTTTTAGTGTTTCTGTAAATTTGGGGAGACCTCATCACATTTGATTTGAAAGGATTGAATTTTGTATTTTGAACTGGCAAATTTAGTAGTGTTGGGGTACATGCAGGACAACATGGTTGCTGTGCGATTCTGTCGTGGGATAGGTGTAATGGGTGTAGTAATAGCGTATAAAACTCAGAATAATTGGGACTTTATTACTTACAATGGTTGGAATTTTGGGTTGAAAAGCACTAACGTGTGGGTTTTTCAAGCAAGAATGTGGCTACCTTATGCAAAATTGCTAAAGGGTGGGATTGTAAGCAGAGCTGCTTTCCCAGGATTCAGCTTTGGGGCAACAACACTGAATATTGACCTTCTTAGGAAGGAAGAGAATAAAGGGGAGAGGGAGGGAGAGAGAGAAGGAGAGCTGTGGATCACTACCCTGATACTTTCCTCTGAGTTCCCTAAGTATGAGCAAGAGTTACTCTTTAACTTCTTATCATGAAAGTTTGCTCCTGCTTGGGCTGTTATTGTGGATTGGTAGGCCATAATAATCCTTAAGTTAAGCTGAGAAATTCCTAATTAGTTATTATGTACCTTATATTAACTTCTGATCCTCTAGCTTCCCTCCTCTCTATTTTCACACTTCCTTTTTCTTTTGGGTTTATATTATGTTTTGGAAATCAATGACAGATATTCTTAAGTATTTTCCCTACCAGGTATTATCTAATGAAGTAACAAGGGTTCACTATGATCGTGCACTTACATTTCAAGAGGATGTTGGGAGGTCAGATAAAGGAAAATGGAACTATAGTCCTGAGTTTGAAGATGGGGTTAGGCTATATAGGTGGGCTGAAATCAAACGAAAAATGCAAGAAGAAAGATTTCAGGAACGATATAAGGTGAATGAGGAGTATTCTTCCTTCTATGACGAAACAGATGATGAGGCTGAAGACGAAAACCTGCATCAAGAGAGAGGCTCATTTATTGAAGTTCTAAAATCTGCTTTCATAACTCTGTTTTTACTGCAGACCTTTGGTTCTCTTTTTTCTCTCACCTTCAGTAGCCTAATGGCTCTATTTGATAAGAAGTTGGATGCTGGATACAAGATTGGTTATGTAATTGCCTGGGTTTTAGGCGGGAGAGGCGGCATTTTGCTGACTTTATGTATCTCCTTTGCAAGTTGGGTTTGTGGGAAAACAAGCAGCAGTGTAGTTGTTCTAGTGGTTGTAGCTATGTGGGTTGGCTCCAATCTTGCTAGATATGCTCCACTTCCTCAAGGTGCCCTCCTCGCACTCATGTACATGTCTATCAAGCTTCAAGTTGATTTAAAGTAAATGCTGTCATAGCATCATCTGTAACATGTATTTCTTTCTTTAACTGGTGGTTTTGTACATAATGTTTGTTCTCTTCAAATGTAATACAAAGGCCAAGTCATTGGAAAGAAAATTTCAAGGATGTGCATTCTAGTTTCTCTTTCCCTTTCCTTTTCCTTTTCCTTAATGTTCTTGTCTTTGATGAATAGTATTACTTATCTGTGCCCCTCTTGCAAATTGAACTAAAATCTCATTTCCGAGGCCTTGCCTTCATTCATCAATTCAAGAAACAATTTTGCAGGAAATTCAGCCATTCTACTTGGATAAATTGCATTCACAACATGGTAAAGATCTAAGAATGAGTGAAAATTTCATCTCTTGGAAATGAACAAGAAAGAATTAACATGTTTGTATGGTACAGTTATTGATTACAGAAGAAAAAACTAGCTTGAGCATACTTCTACCATATGTCAAAACTGTCAACTGTTCTTTACTTTTTCATCATTCTTCATTTCCTTGAGATTCCTCCACAAATACCTCCCACTAGCCATGTCAACAAATACCCAGAATCCATTCTGAACCATCTGGAATTCAAGAATATGAAAGTTTAGAAACAAGAAACAGAAACCACAAAAGGACAAACATGTCAGGGAAAGAAAATTATTTCAACACATACCCTTCTGAAACTGAATTCTTGTTTATCTTTGGCAACCATCTTGTCGGAATCCTCAGAGACTACATCGTCGATGTCAGATGATGAACGAACCGTCCTCCATGCAACATACCCTGCTAAAACTGCAGAGAAGAACACCAGCAAGAACCTCATAGGACACATTGCTCCTCTTTTTTCTTTCTTTCAAGCCAGTGGAAAACAATCTCTCTGCCTGGGCTTTTTTCAATGAGAGAAACAAAGAGATGAAGATTCCCACAAACCCCAATTTTTTCTTTTTCTCTGTTATCCGATGACAGATTAGATTCGTTGAGAATGTAGAGAAAGACAATGGAACAAATGGGGAGGAATTTTCTTTTTTAAGGCAGCCAGTGCACATGTATAAAAAGTATGATATATGGAAACCGCGTTGCTGCAGATTGAAGTTTTCTTGTATGGTAATGGACATGGTACAATTATTGTATGGTTTTACAAAGTCAATGATGGCTTACCAACTACATTAACAACTGGTCAACAATTTACTTTTTCAGTTGTGCTGGTATGAATATAAAATGTCAATGACAGCTTGGGAGTTTCTAGACATAACCCAAAAAGAAGAGCTTAGAGCCATAGTTTGTCAGATCCAACCATTCCAAAACTCCTTGGACAAAACCTACTTTTTTTATGAATATTGTTTGATCCCCACAGTTCCCTCTTTCATATTATTTTTGGGTCTTTTCTTTTCTTCTTGAAATTGAGAAGGCTAATGAGCTTGATTGGCCCAATTGTGCTTATCCCTTCAATTATGAATTCTTCTTCTTTGCTTGGTCTTATTCAAGAACTTTTCTGAAACAGGACAAAATCCAAAGGTTTAGGCTGCTAGAAGCAAAAGTTGACTTATTGCCTTATGGATTCTAGGAGCCCAATTTCATTAGATTAGGCTCTCCAGTACCAATTCCAGTGTTCTATCCTGTCTCCAGGCTTTCATTTAGAGCTAGAGCCATTTTGTTTGGGCTATAGATGTAAGGTTCCAGAGTCCACAAAGTTGAATTTCTTTTCTTTGTGTTTTCTTTTACTAATACTTATTGCAATAACTGGCTTGAGCATTCAACTTCAAAATATTAGGACATCCAAATGTTTAAATTTTAGTTCTAAATGGAGACTGAGCTTTACCCATCAAAACAAATGGAGTTTAAAGCTTTTTACTAGTGAATATATCAATAAGAATTACACTCCCAAGTCTCTTTCCTAATGGTAAATATAAATATCATTGAACTCAATTAATAACACCCAAGTTCATTTGATATTTAGATGCAACAGAAAAATTTAAGTAAAAATCATTATATTTATAAAGTGATATAAAGCACATTTGAAACACATGCATGCCCCAAAAAAAGATTATTCTACTAGTGCTAGTATTGCCTCTTGATTAATGTGTTTAAAAGCGCATGGAATCCAAGTGCTACTTCAAAATGAGAAGGAATCTATCCATGATGGAGGTGGTGGGAAAGAGAAATGTTTATAGATTCTGAATGGGATTTCCAACAAGATTCTTCTCTAGTGCTTCTCCTATGTTTGTTTCATTTATTTACATCATGTTGGTCCCCCTCATTTGTGTTTACTTATTGTTTTCTGCTTGTTAAAGCTCCCAAAACTGTGCAATGTGCTCTTTAAAGGCTTTCCAAAAAAATTAATTTCCTATTATGGATTTTAGTTGACAATTATTGAAAGGGTAAAAGAAAACCCTAAACCTTGAAAAAGAAAAAGAAAGAAGAGGCTTCCTCCCTATTTGAATTGTGAGGTGTAGCACCAATTTATTCCTTCAACTTGTTTGGGTAGGTCTCTTGACTATGTATCTATAGCTCCATGAAGAATAAATTAGGGAATAAAACATCACCCTGGTTGATGGGAGCTCAAATGTCATATCAAACTTTATCATTTATGAAAGTTTTGAAGAAAGAACAAATGTAAATACAACACAAATTCTCTTTGCATCAAGCTTTACAAACCTAGATGATTTTCAAGGATGGCATAAACTTAACACAGATAAATTGCTCTAACCCCCATATCCAGGTTCTTTTGCAAACAAATTGGGATATTAACATCAAAAATGGCTCAATCCATATGAGTCATATTATTGAAATTAACATTATGGTTGTACACTGCAAAGTAATACAGGAAGGTTTGAGTGGATGATAGGCAGGCCTTTGTAGTGGGGAAGCACTTTCTATGTTCCTTTATCTCGTTATAATGCTTTCAAAGGAAACAACAACAATTCTCTAAATTGGTTTAGTGTAGTGGAATCCCATCATCTTGACCCTCTATCTCCATTGGTTCAATATTCTTTTTCTTGCAATGGGGTGAAAACATAAAGTTATAAATTAGCTTTGGAGGCCAATGTTCTTATTCCAGAGAACATGCATGTTGATAGGTTGAAGGAAAAAGGAGAGAAGAGGCCAATTGCTGCATAGACTAATTTGTCAAAGTCAAGAAGTGTGATTATGATGATAATTGAATCAAAATCAAACGATCTGTGGGCATTTTAGTTAAGGAATATTAGGAACATAAAGCCCTGAATTTTTTTTTTTTTTGAATGATGTTTACTTATAATTTGAATAAGTTGACAAATTTGGTCTTTATTCTTAATGAAGCAAAGTGAATTATATCAACTTTATGAAATACCAAGCCATAAATAGAAGGGAAAATTAGGTACTTTTGGAATATTACCAATATTTTTTATCACCAAATATTCCAATCTTTCTTAATAATTACAAACTTTAGCTTGATAAGATATAAAACTTGAATCATTGAAAATATATAAGTCTATCTATACCTTAGCTAAGACATTTCTTTCTTATCAAGTTTATTTGATAGTGGAAATATGAAAAATTAGGATATTCCAAGCATGTTGATATAAGCTAGATAAATGGCTATTGTCACAAGTTATCATTAATGCAAGGAAAGTTGGGTCAATTGAAAATGAAAAGACAAAAGAAACAAAGGGAAGGATTTGATAAAATAAATTCTCCTTTAAATTTAAAATTTTGCGCTTATTAGACATAAATTTAACAAAATCATCTGTCAACTTATTTACAGTAGGAGAGATGCAGTGAATTTGCCGTCTTCCCAACTGTAATTTTAAGGCTTCAACATACCCTCAACCTCCACATTCATGATGAATATTGAGGAAAAGCTTTGGACTTGTCATATGTTTATGTTTGAATCTGATTGGAACATTCAACCACATGCACTACATATGATTCTTTAGTTGTATACGCAAGAGCAAACCAATGAAAACAATTACCGGATTGCGTTGCCTGATGAAAATATCTCCATTTTCCATGGCCCTGGAATTTCTATTAGCTATTCTTTCCAATATGCAGCATTAACTCCTTTCTTCTCACCAACAACATTTGACTCTAGATCGGCAGATTTGGGTAGTTTGAGTTTAAACCAATGGTGGGGTGTACCTGGAGCTTCTGACCATTTGATCAAGGGACGCCCACTTCGATTTGATTTATAAGTTTGAACTGTCAGACTAATTAAAAGCTTAATTGGTTTTAGGGTTTTACAATAGAAATTGAATTTATTAGGATGAAAAAAGACTAGGCAATGAAATTCATGAGTTCTCATGGCAGGCAGGCATCCACTGCCATGAAGATGGATAAAAGCAACGTTAGTTTATAGCTTGATTAAAAGCAAATGCATCAGAACCCTCCTGCCTGGTGATACCAATATGTAATGTAGAACTTTGCATGAAAAAGTTCTAATTCCTTTTTGAATCCTGACAAAGCAGATTATTTCTATTTTGTTTCTTTTATTAACTAAACAATTCTTTGCATATCTAAACACTGAAACTTTCTCTCTTGCATTACAAGTACAGTTTTAAAAGCAGATCTGCTTTGCTCAATGGAAAATGAACATAGAATCAAGGAGGAAGACTGTCAAGTGTGAATTGTTCTATGCATATTAAAAGACTTTGACGTCAGCTAATCAGAACTCTTGGAAACCTTTACACCATCCTAGTGGCATAGAGCCAATGACAAATGGTTCCTCAGTTAAAAGACACTCTTTTGATCACTATTTTGTCATGATCGAAAACTCTTGAACTCCATATGGTTTCTCTTTTCCTTGATTGCTCTCCACTCTTTTCATCAGTTCAAAGTCCCTTTTTGCAGACGATAAAAAATAGGAAAAAGAAGGATTTTAAAACCCTTCACAAAGAGCTTTGTCTGCTCACAAACCATGCCATCCATGGCCACTACTTAAATCCCACTGAGGCCTAACCAAATCTGAACACTGCAAATGAAAGTTCATGTAATGTACTCAAAACCCCTTACATTTCTCTAAAAAAAATTTCCCAAGAAATGATTACTATCCAAATGGAGTTCGCGTTGGATTCACGTTCTTGACAGAATTTGAGTTTCCAACATCTTGTGTATCCACATCAGATTATTCTCCTTCCTGTAAGCCTGTAAGCACACAAAAAAATTTTTTTCCTTCACTTTCTTTCGAAATCACTTGATTGAATGTGAGCTTTGTAAGGATGATGATTCTGTCTGGTGTAAGGAAAGCATCATATTCTTGTGGTAACATGTTGAATTGTTGATTGATGGGCGCATAAATCCAATTGTCTGTAGAATTTCCGGATTTATAGTTCTGAAAGATAGGAATATGATTCTGATTCTGTCTTTGGGTTTTTCCTTTTCTGCTTATATATTCTTGGATTCAGAGTTGAACTTGTGCATCACTTTCACTCCTTTGCTTAAAAGCTGATATCAAACTGCTGAATTATAATTGGAAGTGCCTTCCTCATATTTCATACCTCAGGTGAGAGCTCTTATAGCTTCTGAAATTTTTTGTTCTTCTAATCATCTCTCTATGATCTTGTGTTCTGAAATGTTAGGCATTTTAATTTGTGATGCTGCCTTTAGGAAAATGCATGTCTTTGTTTTCTTCTTTCTTTTTTTGGTAAATTTAATTGTTTTTCTCTTTATGGGGTTACCTTACTACAAATAGCAATGGAGTTACAGTAATGGCTTGGGGCTAGGAAAATTGGGTTTCTTTAAGACAAATATCCCATTAGCAAGCCCCACTTCTGTCTTTTATTGAACAAAAAGAAATTGGGTATGAATAAACAGAACAAAAAGAAACATTAGTACACTGTATATCCTCTGAATTGATTAACTCTGTTTAGTAATTCCTGAAACTTGCAAAAGGCGAAAACTTGCAAACACATCAATGCATTACATCCCCCATTATCATACATTTTTCTTCTTTCTTTTTGCTGCATGTAGACCTTAGATTATTGTTTTGTTCGTTTTTAGTCACATGGATGTGTTAGTCTTAATCCACTAAATCGAAGATATATTTGACATAGATAGCTAAAATTAAAAAAATGAAAGAGCTGAATCATGCAGAAGCACATTCTTGGAATATTTATGGTGGGTAGACATCAAGCACTAACCACAATCCAAAACCATTTTCCTGTTAAGAAACATCTGTTGCTTCATTGATCCTTCCTAGTTAGGCAGCCAGTGGCCAACCCTTGTATGACTTGTACTCCAGATCTAGCTTTGAGAGTTTGCTTCTTGATCTTATCCTCCTACCAATTTTCCCACATGTTTGTTATGACATCAGTACTGATCAGATACAGATAAGATTTCCAGCTATCCCCATCGTCACTAATTGAAAATATTTTATATAATCAATGTCCATGTCACCCTGGAAATTGCCTAGTTAAGGCTTAGGATTATTATGTTTTGGTTCATGTATCTTAATTTTTTTTATTATAATTTATATGATACATGAATTTTCATCATTCATGAGATTTATGAAATTTATGCATGTCTCACATTCATGGACCAACAATATTTTATTTATAAAATTAAAATTACAAAGATAGGGTCCATTTGTTTTTGTTCTCTTTCTTATGTTTTTTACCCCAAAAAGAAAAAAGGTAGTCCACAAAATGCCATTACAACTTGACTGCACAGATTATGCAGTGACCGTGTGATTTATCCACAAGAGGATAGTGAAGTGAAATTGATATCTTCAAAGAAGTTGGATTTGATTTGGATCAGTTGGTTTGGTGAAGGCAAAACCAGTTTAGGCTATTACCAAACATGAAGACAAATAGAAATCATCAAATTCTAGGAAGTTGTCAGCTTTAAACTTGGTGAAGATATGCATTAAACTAATGACAGAGTCATTAATTAACTGCTCAAAGCCCAATGTATGACAGCAATCAAAGGGACCACGAAATAAATATTACATTAGACCAGATGGGGAAGGAAGGAAGGATTTGACTTAGGGACCTCTACCCTTCAAAGGAGAGACAACAACCCTTAGACCAGATGCGGCGAATTTTCAAGGCAATATAAAATATTTTGTGTGGCATCAAGATAAAGATTTAGTTTACATGCAGAGCATACACAGCAGACTCTAAGATCAGTCTGCCTGTTAATATTGAAGTAGTTAGGCAACTTTTGCATGTCAAGATTATCTGTAAAATGCTGATAAAACATGACAAGACATAATCTTACGTTGAAAAGAATGAAAGAAAGAGTTCCGTTTGAACGATTAGGTTTGTTCGAATAATTATATTTGTTTCAAAAATCGTGTCTGTGTAAACAGGCTTATCTTTAATAACCGTTTGAAACTAAACAAACATGTATGTTTTCATTGTATATAAAAATGCAGGTTGTCTAATAGAATATTAGATGGTAATGACTTCATTTGTCATGCACATGAATCACATTCAAGTTTTGGTCGTATTGTCCACAAGGGAATTGGTTTAAATTGACGCAACTTCTTCATCTTGGATACATCAGTTAAAATCTTAATCTTCTGTGTCTTTCTTTTTCTTCCTTTTTTTTCCCCCTTTTTTTGCTCCTCAGAAAGTGCTGACTTCTAAGAAACAATAATGAATGCATTAGTGGCAACCAACAGAAACTTTAAACTGGCAGCCAGGCTTCTTGGTTTGGACTCTAAGCTTGAAAAGAGTTTGCTAATCCCTTTCAGAGAAATTAAGGTGATATAAACTTCCCTTTAATCTCCATTGGCTTTCATTTTGTTGTGATTATTGGAAATGTTGTTGAAAAATGCAGAAATGTTGTATCTATGAAGGGTCAAGAGGGCTTGGAGATAATGATTTGATAATATGTTATAGTTCTTCTCTGCTGCTCTGATTGCTTGTGGACATATCTGTAGGTTGAATGCACCATACCCAAAGACGATGGCACTTTGGCTTCCTTTGTTGGGTTCAGGGTTCAGCATGACAATGCAAGAGGGCCCATGAAAGGAGGAATCAGATATCACCCAGAGGTGTTTACATTCTGCTGTTTGAATTAACATGCCTGATAGCAAGTTAACGAATCAAGATTCTGTCTACTTCGTTAACTTCTTGTTGCATAGTTTGGATTCTGATCATCCTATGAATAATCTAGGTTGACCCTGATGAAGTGAATGCTTTAGCACAACTAATGACATGGAAGACTGCAGTTGCCAATATCCCATACGGTGGGGCTAAAGGTGGGATAGGATGTAATCCAGGAGAGTTAAGCATATCTGAACTGGAACGGCTTACTCGAGTTTTCACCCAGAAGATACATGACCTGATTGGAGTTCACACAGATGTTCCAGCACCTGATATGGGTACAGGTCCACAGGTACAATAGGCCTCAAATATCTCAGTTCTATCAGTTTTCCTTTTATGTTGGTACTTGGAGATGATGAGGAAGTGATCTTCAATTTTTATTTTTTATTTTCAAAAAATTGATAATGGTGTTTTCTGTTTGTTAAACAGACAATGGCATGGATTCTAGATGAGTACTCCAAATTCCATGGCTATTCACCTGCTGTAGTAACTGGAAAACCAACAGTAAGTATATACACAGAGAGCGTTTGACTTCACATTGAATTATGCTAGTAATTTTAAGCCTAGAGATTTCTGCAAATTGACTTTAGGACTTTTCTTTATAATTGAGGATAATTTAGAAAACTTATGGATATTACCCTTTTTCCTTAGGATCTTGGAGGATCACTTGGCAGAGATGCAGCTACTGGCAGAGGAGTGCTCTTTGCCACAGAAGCCCTACTTAGTGAGCATGGAAAGACCATCTCTGGACAAAAATTTGTAATACAGGTGCACCTTCAACGCCAGAAATTTAAATTATGACTCATACACTTAATATAATGGACTGCGGCTCCATGTAAAGTACAGTTCTCAAAATGATGAATGCTTATTCCATCTCAGGGCTTTGGAAATGTTGGATCCTGGGCTGCCCAGCTCATCCATGAAAAGGGTGGGAAGGTTGTTGCTGTGAGTGATATCACTGGAGCCATAAAGAACAGCAAAGGAATTGATATTCCAAGCCTACTCAAGCATGTCAGGGAAAGCAAGGGTGTCAAAGGATTCCATGGTGGGGATTCTATAGATCCCAATTCAATTCTGGTCGAAGACTGTGACATACTCATCCCAGCAGCACTTGGTGGTGTCATCAACAGGTTCTTTTTTCGGCAACAACAATTTTTTTTTTTAATATTGCCCAGCAATACTGTTTGCTTAAAACTAAAATATTGTCATTTGATCTAAATGAAGGGAAAATGCAAATGATATTAAAGCCAAGTTCATAATTGAAGCTGCTAACCATCCAACTGATCCAGAGGCTGATGAGGTTACTGCTTGTCTGAAGTTTGCAATTAGCCAGTTACATAACTAAAAAGAGAGGCAAACAAACAATTTCATTTCATTAATTCGTTGTCTTCTTTACCTGCAGATCTTATCAAAGAAAGGTGTGGTTATCCTTCCAGATATATATGCAAACTCAGGAGGAGTAACTGTTAGTTACTTCGAGTGGGTGCAGGTATTATATTTGAAACTCATCTGCTTATATTACAAGTTACAGGACAAATACTTCAGGGAGTAATGATAGTGGTCATTTTCCATTGCAGAACATTCAAGGCTTCATGTGGGATGAGGAGAAGGTGAACAATGAGCTAAAGACATACATGACCAAAGGATTCAAAGATGTGAAGGAGATGTGCAAAACCCACAATTGCGACCTTCGTATGGGAGCCTTTACCCTTGGAGTTAACCGTGTTGCTCGGGCTACTCTTCTGAGAGGCTGGGAAGCATAAGAGTGCTTTGCTGGTTTAAATAAAGATGGAGGCTACTATGAAGCCTCTGATTCTTGTCCACCTGTTGTTCTAAACCCTCATTCAATTGAAGTTCTGCCATTTTTATTTGTTGCCTTAATGTACCTGTTTGGTTCCCAAAAAGAGTGTTATATCTGAGCATATAATTGATTACTCTGATCAGATTTATAGATGAAGCAATAACATAATGGTCTTGAATTCACAGCAGAACAAACCTAGGTTCAAAATTTACCAGCACTGAAACCTATCCTGCTTTTGTTTGCCATTCTTTTAGTGAAGTAAAGAGTATGGAACATAGCATTTACTCAAGGCATGACTGATCATCAAAGCACTGTACAATTTCAAGCAGTGCAACACTGCCAGCCAGCATCTACTACAAGCAATCAACAGATTACAGCCGTCTCAGACCTACAACAATCTAGAATGGATCATATTCAAAACTTGATAGTTGCACTTTGGATAAACAAAAATGTGAAATAAGTATATCTCCAATTGACACAACCAAAAGTCTCAATTAAGTTCGATATCAAATTTTCAAAGTTGTATGCCCATGACATCTGAAAGAGGCAGCACAGAAGGGCATTGGTAATGTTACAAACTGCTATTAGTCTAAAATCTCCCCCTGCCTCTAAACCCACCACCACGGCCACCACCCCTAGGACCACCTCTGCCACCTCTTGGGGCACCTCTTCCACGAAATCCACCACCTCCACGAAATCCACCTCTACCACCACCTCTGCCTCCTCCACGACCACCTCTTGCACCAGCTTGTGCCTGTCCCCTACAACAGCACAAAATATGATATTAGAATTTTTCTGGGTCATACCAGAAATTCAAACAAAAAAATTCTGGATCATACGTGAAATTCAAACTAAAATAGCCAGAATGCATGATAACTCCCAAGTAGAGTATGTGACAAATGATTCCAATACATATGCTATAACTACCAATTACACATCAATAATTTAGGATACATAAAAGATATTAAAGCACATCATCTCAAAACAACTCCTGGACATAACCATCAATCCCCAAAAGAAATCAAAATGAAAGAAATGAAATCAAAGCAGTTTTCAGACATGGGATGTAAGGATTACAAACATACTTTGGTTGTGGAAGAAATTTTGCAAGAGGCAAAAGTTTGCTCGGGTCAATATAGAACTTATCACCCAGGGCATACGAAGTCGCCACAATACCTTCCAACATTTTGATTGAAAAATACTGCAACAAGCAGAAAAGTAAATAAATGAACACACATAAAGTCCAAACTATGAAAGAAAATGATTCAAACTAGCAATGGAACTCACAGATTCATTGATGGGACCAAAAATTTCATCAACTTTCCCAATCTGGGTCTTGTTCTGTAGATAGATTGGAGCATTAAAATAAGGTATTTTCTCGTTGGTTAGCCTTGTCACTGCATCACCCTCACAAGCATGAAGAAATGTAGATACCTCTGCATAAATAACAAAAAAAAAAAAGCCAAAGTTCGGTTTTTTTAACTTCTCTTTGCATCAAAATCGCTTCTTTCTTTTACATTTCTTTCACTTTCTTAGCATCCAAACAAAACAACAAAACAAAGGTACCAAAAAAAAAAAAACTAACCCACTACTTCAGCAGGAGGCCCTTCATCACGGAACCCACCGCCACCACGTCCAAAACCGCGACCACCGCCTCCTCGGCCACCTCCTCTCCCTCGTCCACCGTCTCTGCCGCCCCTGAAACCCCCGCCGCCTCTCGGTGGTCGCATTTTCTTCCTTTCTGTTTTGCTTCTCTGAGCTGAGGGCTTTGAAGGGGTATTCCTTTTTAGCGTTTATACCTAAACAAGTGAGAAATAAAGAGCGTAGGGTTTTGAAGTTTCTTTGGAAGAGCCAAAATTACTATAGTACCCTTTAGTTTTTGTTAATTCACGAATGGTAGTGGCCGTAGGGCCAGTTTGGTTCTTGAATTGGACCACTCAGAAGCCCAAAGGAAGCAAACACATTTTTTTATCATCTATTTGCTAATTTCATGATTGCATGATCAAAGTTCTGTGCTTTTTTCAATAGACCAAGGCTTCATTATGTTCTACAAAGGGAAAACTATCAATATATTCATCACACTTAATAAAAGGGAACTCATTAAATTCTGATGAGAAATGCCTAAGATGGTGTAGTTCAAGTACTTCTGGTGCAACCTTGAGACAGCCAATAGCCTAGATGGCCAAGACTGATGGAAACGAACCCAGAGGTGGAACTGAGCCTTTCCATTTCCTGATACTGAGAGTCATTCACCTTCGACGAGCATGATGCCGGCGGTGATGCAATGGTGTAACGGTGAAATAACCAATGACATACATCAGTGCAGTTGAAGACAAGAACCCAACAGGGTAGCCAATTCCTGCCGCTTCCCATGAAAACCATGTTTCCTTTTTCTCCTCCTCCGGTGACTCAGGTGGCTGCGAGCCTTCTTCACAAGGAGCATCAATTTGCACCCCGCACAGTCCACTGTTGTTGGCATAAATGTCTGGATCAATCAGCCTATCCATTTGAGGACTCTCAGGAATTTTACCTGCGAGTTTGTTGTTGCTCAAGTCTAAAGTATTTTTTTTTTTGAAAGATGGTTTTTATTAATAATGAGCTGAAATTTCGTGGGGAGTCTTCAACGTTGAGATTTGGAAGTCTAAAGTATTTAGTTTCTGGAGCTTGGCAAATGATCTGGGTATTTCACCATCAAAGTTATTGTGTGACAAATCCAAGGCCTCTAAACTCTCCAGATCACCAAAACTCATAGGAATGTTGCCTGAAAGCTCATTGTATGAAAGGTTGAGTAGCTTCAAACGTTTAAGACTGCCTAATGAAGGAGGAACTTCTCCTGATAACTGGTTCTTTGACAAGTCCAAGAAAGTATAGATATCCAGGTTCCGGTTGGAGAGGCCTCGCTTTGAATTCTTCCAGTTTACTATCAAGTCATGGATTTCAACTTGAAAGCTAAAAATTTCAGAAAGCGTTGATGGGACATCAGGTGTATCAATCATTCCAGTAAGATTCCCGAAGCTTGGAGGAATGTCACCAACGAGGTTATTGTTGGAGAGGTCTAGGATTCGGAGACTACTAAGATTTGACAGATCATCCGAGATTGATCCCTCAAAGGAATTGTCCCTAAGATTAAGTACTTGAAGTGAGGACAACTGATAGAGGAATGCTGGAAATTCACCAGTTATATTGTTGTCATGAAGATCAAGGTGTTGAAGCTGACTCAAATTGCTCAAATTCTGAGGTAATGGACCAGAAAAGTCATTTTGGCTTAATGAGAGCATCATTAGGTTCAGTCCAAAAGCTGCAGGAACCTTGCCAGACAACTTATTGGAAGATATATCAACATAAGCGATTAAGCCATCTTCTCCAAATGCTGGAAATTCACTGCCAGAGAAACTATTTGTTGACAAGTCCAGAAGTAATAGCCTATAGATTTTGGAGAGAGATTTTGGCACCGGCCCAGAAAAATTGTTTTCTGAGAGCATGAGTACCATTATTGAAGTAGTATTAATTTCTCGCAGTTCCCCAGAAAAGTTGTTCCTTGACAAGGCAAGGACTGACAAATTTCGAGATTGAAACAACTGAGGTGGGAGCGAACCTGCAAGTTTGTTATCTGATAAAATAATAGTTCCGAGATTTAGTTCAGCTAACCACTGTGGGAAGTCTCCTTCGATCTGATTCTCACTCAAGTCCAAGAAAATAAGATCAGTTTGATTGGCAAGCCAGCGAGGAATCTGACCACTGACACTGCAAGATCTCAATGACAAAGAAGATAACTTACACTTTGGAGTGATTGTGATGTCGTTATTCCATGCTAGTCTGTTTCCTCCAAGGTGCAACTTCTTCATCTCCTTGAGATCAAATAACCATGTTGAGATCTCGCCAGAGAGCTTGTTATTCTCCAGCTGAAGTGTCTCCAGCTTTCCCAGCGTCTGAATTGATGATGGGATTTCACCACTCAAATTATTCTTGCTCAAGTCTAAAGTAGTTATGTTCACCAAGTTCCCAATGTCTGCTGGAATCTCCTCCGACAATGAATTGTTCTGCAGCTGCAATACTTCCAGCTTCCTTAGCTGCAATATTGACAACGGAATCCTGCCAGAAATTTGGTTGCCCGGAAGTGTCAACTTCCTCAGTTCAGTGAGGTTTCCAATCTCTTCAGGAATCTCTCCACGAATGATATTGGCATCCAAGCTCAACTGTTTCAACTTCCTAAGACCGCCAACATCGCCAGGTAAGCTACCCTCAATCTTGTTACCACTGAGATCAAGGAATTCAAGATTCCTTAAACGAAACAACTGAGGAGGAATAGAACCATTGAAGCTATTTCCCCTCATGTCAAGATACGCTAGCTCGGTCAAATTGCCAAACCCAATGCCTGCAATTTCACCTTGTATTGAATTGTAGGAAATGTCAAGCGACATTAAGGTCTTTATCCGGAAAACTGATCCCAAAACAGTTGAAGTCTTTCCTACCAAGGGAAAAAGACTGGATAGATTAAGACCAGTCACTTCTTGCGAAGATGAGCGAGAATTGCACTGTAGCAGGAGCCACTGACAACATTCCGAACTGGAATTCCATGTCTCTAAGCCACCAAGAAACAAATCTGTTAGGTTGTCCGTTACCATGTCTCGAACTAGTAAATCTTTCAACTCCAGGAGAGCTTCTCGTTAATCATGAAGGCATGAAAGGGAACCCCTGAGGCTGAGGCATAGGATAAAGAACATGAAGTATGATCCAGAAAGAAGGCTTAAGTTGGCCATTTTTAGCTCTTTGCTTTTCACTTTTTTTCTGCTAAACCACCTTCTGCTGGTATAGTTATGTGTATAGGAGGAACTAGGCGATCCATACGTCGAAGTCAAAGTGTGAATCTTTTTTTATAATGTAAAAAATCTGGTGGGAAAGTGAAGAGAAGTTGCAGCTTTCTTGTCTCAAGGAGTCGCCTGACCCTGTCAACAATTTATAGTCATTGAGAGATTCATGGTAAATTTGGAACCCGTCAGACAAATCATAAAGGAGCCCGATATTCATTATCAGTACATTGAATCATAGGATCAAAGAAGTTTAGTTCTCTGGAAGGAAGCCTCTGTCGTCTTCTTTCCGTCAACATGTCAAGTTCAAGGTAGTGCTTCTTTTGTTTTTGACTGTAATGACGTGTTGCCATCAAATCAATTTAGTATTTGATCAGGAAAATTCCCGGAAGATGTTGGATTACTGGTTTTTAATGACCAAAGCTGAACTTGAAGTCAATGGAACATAGCATCATCCGAAAAATAATCCTGCTGATACATAAAACTGTGAACTGATCCAGCTGGACTCACTCTCAAGCATTCTGATCAGAAAAGAGCAAGATCACCATATGGGTTATTTCAAATTTAGCTAAATAAAGCTTCCCGCTGTTGGAAAACTGTCACTGAAACAGACAATTTCATTCTGCTTCAGTATCCCACCATTTCCGGCATGATAGAAAGTATCACAAGCCCTCATAATCAACTCTTAATCCGGCTTGAACAGTACAGTTATTTAGCTAAATTTAGCTTTGTTTTCATCCTTGGTCCATTTGATTTCCTTCCTTTTTAGGTTGGAGGATGAAGGGATTAAGTACTGGGAGTTATGGAGGGTGGAGAGGAGGGAGAGAAGGTGAACCATTTCCCACTTTAAGAAAAACATTGCTATTTATGATGATTACTTGCAGCCAGTTATGATAATTCAAAGCACAAGACCTGTTACTATGAAATGTATGTTTTAACAAACAGCTGCCCACACTATCCCAGGCCGGCTCAGGGCATTAGAATTCCAACTCCCAAATTCTATTAATTCTCTTCCTTCTTTTTGTCTTTCTTTTCCTTTTCCCCTTTATACATTCCCATATGAGGAGATTTTATAGCAGAATTAACCCCACCCATACTCAATTCAAGACCAAAAATACCTCAACAGCTTTCAAAAATTTGAACTTTTAAATTATTTTTTTTCCTTTTGGGACTATGTCACAATGTACACTCCAGAATTAGCAGACTGTCCGCCCATAACAAATTGATGCAATGTAGAGATTTTTGGCCCATTTTTCCTGCAACAATGAACAATCATGATATAAGATAAAAGACTCATTAAAAGAAGAGGTTGAGCATCTATAATAAAAGAGAATAGACCAAGCAACACTCAGCACCCACTGGTAATGCTTAGAGAAGTGAATTAGCATTGCCATAGGAGTTGAAAGATGGCAAGGGGCGAAAATAGGGAATACCCACCTTTACATGGGCGCTAGGAAAGGCAGATGTACGCAGAGTTTCCTGAGTTTCATCCATCATTTTTCGTTTTGGAATGCTCAGTATGAAGGCAGCTTGATCTGCAGTTGCAGCCATAGATGTTATTCTGTAACCGCTCTCCCATCGCCGATGTATTCCCTCGCTTGGATACAAAAAGTCAAGCTCCACAACCTTGATTCAATGAAATAAATATAAAAGGACATGTAATCAGCTACTTTGGAAATGGTGGGCAGTGGAAAAATAGAAGATGTACGTACCCATCTAAAGAAAGGAATACCTGATCAGAAAATCCAGAGTTCCTAGACATTACCACACCCCAGCGACTCCCAGCAGTTGTCATTGATGTTACATGAAAGCCTTCTTTCCACTTCTTATTTATCCACTTGAAGGGAAAAGATTCACTTACTTTGTAGGACTGCTGGGTGTAGGGAGTTCCTACAAAGTCACAGGATTTTGCAAACAGCTTAGCAAATAGTGATCAACATAATTTGAATGCTACAAATATGTAAGAATCTCAGGCATGCTCAAAACAAATTGCTTTAGCCAATCTCCTCTTGCAACTCGCAAGCTTAATATTAAGTATACTATCATGCTAAAGGTTAATTACAAAAAACAAGCCTAATTCAATTGTCTTTCAACATAAGTTGTGCAACTCAAGGATACAAGGTCGAGGCAGACATGTAACCTTATTTATTGGCCCATGTATATATATATTACTCTCAGAAGCTCTGAATGTAAATGACGGTAGCATCATGGCAGCAGCTCCAGGAAGATGAACCCTCCAGGCTAAATTGTAACACATGAATTCAATCATGCATCGCTCCACTCTCGGAAAACTCAATGGCACCACTTAAAAATTAATTTTATCTTAGTTTTACGGTCATCAAAAAGGAAATAAACTTCGTTGCTGATTACCAACCTTTTGACATAACAACCAAGGAACTCGCATTATTTGCTCCAGCTATTGAACTTATATAGTAGTTCTTTTCCCACTGCTCCATAATCCAATCCTGATGAAAATCCAATAGATATTAATGTAAGGAGTATATCAAAGAATGCATGATGCCAAGCAGAAAAATGACAGAATTAGTGCTTTAGAATGATAACCTTGTGCAGAAAGACTGTTGACAAATCATAAACCTGGCAAGTGAATCCCGTTCCGGCATCCATGATCAGGGCCCAGAGATTAGCTGCTGAAGCGACACAACTAATAAACAATCCATCTTCATTACCCTTATCTATGTGCTGACGCAACCTTGAATCTGCTACATTGTAATGATATCTACAAGATTGATAAAAGGTTACAGGTAGGATGAACACCGTTTGAGAGATACTTCAAGATGAGACTTCTAAGCAAAACAAATGTCAAACCTCATGGTTGAATATCTCATATTTTCACCCAAAGAAGCATGCACCACAAAACAAACATCAAAGACTGGCAACCTAATTTTAATGGACCACATTTAACTTAGAACAACCAGCCACATTTACTTAAATTTTTGCCTGTCACTATACATGTTTCATCATCACATATAAGACATCAATTGTGAAAGTATTCACCAAATATGCTATTTTATTACTGTGATGAGGAAAACATGCAAAATTGATAAGATTAACTCACTGCCATACCAACTTATAATGAATGTTAATAATTCAGACCACTCAATTAAGCTCACAGACAACCTTCAGGAGTAGAGAGATAACAAAATGTTTGTGCAGTTCATCATACAAGCAGAAGTAGAAATGAATATTATATATAACAAGAAAATGCAACTTTACCTCTGCTTCATAGGACGGCGTGCATTGTAAACAGAAATCCACTGAGTAGCAGGACTACCAAGGCGTATTTTTTTCTTCGGTTGCTCATCTTCTTCCAAATTAATGACTAATCTTCCCCGCTTTTGCCCAACCTATTTATGCAAAGGGAAACAGAAAAAGGTTGTTTAATTGAGCATCCTATCCGATCCAATTTAATTGGAGAGAAACAGCATAACAACCACCTTAAGAGCTCCATCAATTCTTATTGGCCTCAATGGCGTGCATGGTTCAATTAGGCTTTCAAAGAAGGAAATTAGCTTGGCATAATTGGGCTCCTCATCAAACTTCATATTTGTAACAGCTTCAAGAAACTGTCTAAATGGGGCAGGACAAAAGCAACACATCAACTCTGGAGAAGTGGCCATCTTTTTCTTGCAAACCAGAAAACTCTTGTTATCCCCCTGTGAAGTTCCAGAGAAAAGCCATATATTCAGAGGAAGTAAATCAGATTAGATAAATCTTTAATCAAAACAACACAAACCTGATAACCCTGCCATGGTAACCGTCCTTTTATTAGAAATATCAATGTGTATGCCAATGACTCAAGGTCATCCCTACGACTTCCAGTCCGACCTAAATGTGCATGTACACTAGCATACCTAATTGTTCCCCTGCCAAAATGAATATCCCAAGATATTAACACCAAGCATAAGCATTAACTGGCGACATTTAAAAAAATGAAATAAGATAACATAAACAAATCTATGCACCTGAACACATCAGGCCTCTGATCATAATCAACATGTTGACCAGAGTGTGCATCTTTCCATCTAGAAGCTGATACGAGGACATGGGAAGCAAACAGATATTAATACCAACTTGGGAATAGGATTTATTCCATCTCAGTTAAAGACATGACATAAAATGAGAATCTCTTAGAGAAATCTTCCATTGAAGACGAAAAAGAAAACAGTAAGTGTTAATCATAACGTGCTCCTGCTTGAAACTTCAGAAAGAACATACAGTTAACAGAGAAGAGAGGAGAACATACCTAAACCAAGATCAATAAGATATAGCTTCTTCTCATCAGCTGATCCAGGTTGACCTAGTAAAAAATTCTCAGGCTTCACATCTCCATGCACAAACCTTTTTTTCAAGCAGACAATAAACAATGCCAATCAGTTGTAACTATGCAAAACAGGAGGGTGAATTTAACAAAGTGCAGAAAGATACAAAAGGACCTACCCCTTTAAATGAAGCTTTTCAAGAATTGATATTGCCTCCACTGCAATGCAGGCAGCCATAGTTGGTGACATCCTATCATAGCACAACATGTTAGAAGACTGAAAGAGTATAGTAGACACATATAGACATGCCTGGGTAGGTACAACAGAGACAGGAGGAAGATTCTATTTCTTACGATTGTCCTAGAGAATTCCAAACATCCCATAGGCTAGGACCAAGCATATCCATTACCTGAAATATTCATTAATGTTGCTTAAGATATATTAAGTAATTTGGGAGACAAGACACTAAGGAGCTCAAAATCAAAACTCACCAGAATGTAGAAGTCTCCCTGGCGACCCTTGTAATGGACCCAAGGAATCCCATAGCATCCGTTTAGGGTACTTTTCATTTCACGAGGAGATTAGAAAGAAAAATGTGAGAAGTTACATACTGCATTAAAATATGTAGAAACAAAAGCCTGATACACAATTTTATGATTAAAGATGCCATACTTGTACACTTGCCACTCGTAAGGCGGACCATAATTGCAGCCTTTACTGTTCCGGTGCTCAAACTTCAAGGCTACCTGTGATGAAAAGAATCAGCCGTTACATCCCAAGTGGTTTGACCTGGATAACCCTTGAACATGGGCATGAGTTTCTCAGACATACCTCAATTGCATCTGGTCCAGTTCTATCACTACCACCGCTTACCCTTCGGCCAACATAAACTTGGCCAAAACCACCCTTACCCAATTTCCTTTCTATCTTATATACAGGAGAATTACCCACTTGTACCTGCAACAAGTAACATAAAAGTATTCAGTCAACAGCTTCGTTGAGGTGAAGAACTAAATAATCAGGCACGTTTTAGTTGGTAAGAATCTAAGGATTAAAAGACAAGCGACCTAACATACAATGAAACACCCGTGACTTGACACAGTAAAACAATCTTCAGTTTCATGTTAAATCAAAATGCCAATGATTTTCCAAATATTTTCAAGCAAATTTTAAATGCTGAAATGAAGAAATTACTCTTTTTGAAATTGTATGACTAATATAGTAGTTAGCTCTTAGGTAAATAAAGCATACTAGAAGAAATTGAATTCATCCAGTATTCTTGCCAAAGCGAAGTGTCCCAGAATAAGCAACTTAATATGGAAGATTTAAGTAACAAATAAATATATTCAACCAAAAAGGAAAGATATAGTACGCAATATGGAGTTACCCGTTCAGGAACTGGGGTTGTGCTAGCTTCTTC